GCCTGTGGTCCCAGCTACTTGGGAGGCTGAGGCAGGAGACTCACTTGAGCCCAGGAGTTGGAGGTTGCTGTGAGCGGTGAAGCCATAGCACTCTACCCAGGGTAACAGCTTGAGGCTCTGTCTCAAGAAAAAAATAATAATAAAATAAAAGAAGTGCTTTGCCTCAGAGAGGCCATTCTTATGTTTTATGTCCTTATTTTCAGATTGCTTCCTGAGAAAAGACATCTTGTAAAGGTATGAAATAAATACTTATGACTTGAATTGGATACTTAAAATGCATGCATTTTATTATATATGTAAATTCTACCTTAAAAACAGAAAATACATATATGTGACTATTTTGTGAATGATGAATTAAAGGTGTTGGTAGTGAATGTATTTATCATTTTACTGAAGGTGTCTTTGTGATGCACTAATCCAAACTTTGTTGGTATTAGACACTAAATTTGTGATCTTAATTTATAATTTGATAGTATTCATTTTCTTGTTTACTCTTTCAAGTTTTTTTGAAATAGGATAAAAAAGGCAAATTTTAGAATACATTGAGAACACTATTCTCTTGGTAAAAATATTTATTTTCCTCAAGATTAATAGACCTGATAATATGATATGCCAGAGTTTATAGAGACGCTAATCTCATCAGATTTTTAAATGTATGGAGTCACCCATACATATTAAGAGAGTCTGGGCCACAGAAATTAGTGAATTTAACTAAACACAGGATTTTCTTAGTTTAATGTTGGAATCATCTAAATCAGTGTTGAATTTGTAGTCATATAAATTAATAGGTGAGATTTATGTTTTATAATTTTCTGTTTAAATGAAGGTGGGGAAGGAAGTTTTTACCAGCTGTCCTTTTCCCAAACTTAACTAGAAAATGAGGAGATTCTTGTCCTCCTACCTCACTTTCTCTGTACCCCTTCCTACACAGCCTTGGCTAACCAGTAGCTGTACATATTCTAGAACTGTAAGGCTTTTCCCTTTTGTTTCCCTCAGTCATTATTATCCTGTGTTACTTGTTTTAAATATAATTTATCCCTTGACTATAATTCTGACTGGGTTTTTTTTTTTTCAATTTTTATTTAGAACAAACTTTTCCCACAAGCTATTTCTTATTTAGAGAAGACTTTTCAGGTTCGTAGACCTGCTGGCACTATCTTACTCAGCAGGTATGTCATATTAAACACAGATAATTTTCTTCATTCATTTAATACTCTGCCCTCTCCTTTCTCCCAATATGGCAAAGTGTAAAATATATAGTAGAATGTTGTATTATGCTTGCTCTGAGAGACCAACCTGCAAAGTACAATAAGAAAGCACCTGCTGGATAATCGTTCTTTCCTTGATTTTCTTTTATAAGATGGCTTACTGGATCTTTTTCTAGGGTGTAGCTGTCCTGTGTTCCCTCACCCTTTTCTTCCCTCCTTTATGTGACTGCGGTATTGGCTTTATGAAGTATTTGGTGTTTGAAAACCTAAATTAGGCTTGGTGCTTGTAGCTCAGTGAGTAGGGCACCAGCCGCATATACCAAGGCTGGTAAGTTCGAGCGCAGCCCAGGCCTGCTAAACAACAACAACAATTGCAACCAAAAAATAGCCAGGTGTTGTGGCAGGCACCTGTAGTCCCAACTACTCAGGAGGCTGAGGCAAGAGAACCTC